GCTAACATTTTTTTCCAAGTCCTTCCATTTTTACTGCAGTTTGAACTCAGGGCCTGCCTCTTGTGAAGCGGGCACTTTACTGCTTATGCAGCGCCATTGGCACTCTTGGCTTGAGTTACTTTTCCAAGAGGGCCTTTCATTCTTGCCCAGCCCGGCCTGATCCAGGATCCCCCTGTTTTTACTTTCCAGTATAGCTGGGTTGGCTGACACCTGTTACTATTTGTTGAGATGGTGTCTCAAGAAGGTTTCCCCCAGGCTGGGTCAAGCTGTGATCCTTGACCACGATCCCCAGGTAGCTAGGATTAAGATGGTGAGCCACAATTCCCAGCTGCTTTGTTATTTATCAATGACTTATTTGATTAAATGAACAAGATGACTTAGAAAAGTAGGGAGTTGTTTTGATTTTCTAATTTCAGTTCTAAACTTTAATTGGCTTTTCATTGTCTCGCCCCAGAGCTCAGAAATTCACATTCCTGATTAAATACTGCTGATATCCTGGTCATTGTTTTGGTTTGTGTAAATTTTGTAACATCTATCCATGAGAGTTACATAAGCACACACACACACACACACACACACACACACAATGATAATACAACTTCAGATGCAGGGAATTACAAAAAAGTACCTTTCTAAATAAATCAATTGAAAACAATGTGGTTAAATGGCAGAGATTTATAACTTAGTATTTAAAAAACAAACACATGTGCAAACACACGCAAACACGAAAACACACCTGGAAGTAATTGTTCTTTTTTAACAATGAATTGTGTGTTTAAACATGAGTCAACCAAGCATTTCTGGGAGCTCAGCATTCATTTCTTTTGTCAAGAGTGTGAAAAAAATTAGCTCCCCCAGTGACCCTAGCCCAGGCTTTCCCTGGAGGACTGCAAGTCGAGTGGGTACGCGGCCAGGAGGAGTCGTTCAGAGTACTTCCTCTCCTTTCTGAACGACATCTGGAAGCATTCCATTTCCCCCACAGCCCCGATGGCTGTCCTCATCCTCACTGAACAGTCTCGGGGAACTCACGAGGTAGCAGCTCTCTACAAATGCCTGAAGATTTCAGTTGCTCACGGGAGACGATCCTGTAGATCCACGGATGTGCAGTGTCCTCAGCCTCGTCCGCTTCCTGCCCAGCATGTGGAGCTGTTTCCAGGCCGCGTGGTCAGACGCAGAGCCCTCATTGTCCAGCAGGGCCTGCAGAAGAGGTTAACCTGAGAGGGGGGTGTCTGTCCCGGTGCCTTCTCGGGAGACAAGAGCTGCTCCAAACACTGAAGGCGGAAGACTCCGCGGCTTAGGTCCAGCTTGATGCAGTCTACAGAACAGCAAGCATGGGTGGCGGTGGCTGGGAGACCAGGGCTGATTTTCATCAGCCTGATGTTTGGATCATGTTTTGACTAGAACATTTTGTTCTGAGTATCTTTGCTGAGATTATGACTTAAGAAGAAATCACTGGAAAGCAGAGGAAAAATGGAATTACTAAATATGCAAGCCAGCTTTGACTACAGTGTTAACAATGTTTTGACACAAATAACTTGATATATTTTTTCTGAGTTGCTACACGGAAAAAGCAAAACAGAGCCAGCATCTGAGTGCTGGTGTCTTTCAGACTCATTAAGATAGAGAAGGTTGTTCTCTTCACATAGAAGGTCGCCCTACCCATGTATATTTTATGTTTATACTCTTCAGTAGTCTTGAGTCTTAAGATCATTTAAAAACTCCATTAAATTTGAATTATAATAAAATGTCTATTTTTAGGTGAGGAGATTTATAATTCAGGTATAGCATCCCTTAATAACCTGAAACTTTAAAAACTGAGTCCGCCAGGTGCCCGTGGCTCACACCTGTGAGCCAGAGGCTGAGATCTGAGGATCGTGGCTTGAAGCCAACCTAGGCAGGAGGAACTACCAAAAATGCTCAGGGACAGCACCCTGGCCTTGAGTTCAAGACACAGCACCGTCCAAAAACAACAACAAAAATCATAACAAAACGGTAATTGTGTATTCTGTGCACATAACTGTGACACAGGTGGGTGTTTCACTCCTAACTGCACAGGGACGGATCTGTTTGTGTCATTTTGCCAGTGCTCTAAGCAGCGTTGAAGTGGTGTTGTGTAGGATGACCGTGCATCGTTCTTTAAACAAACAGCAAATAATGAGTGGGATGAATGGTGAAACGGGAGGAAATGCACCTCCTGCAGCCAGGGAGAAAGGCATGCTCTTGAAGAGTGGAAGAGCTGGGGGCGGGCCAGGCCGCTCAGAGTCCGCAGAGGGGAGCTGGGGGCACTGGAGGACGAGGGCAGCCAGGGCCCAGGGCCGCCAAGGCCCCGCCGGCCGCAGCTCATTCAAGACACAAGTGCCAAGCAGCTGGAGCTCTGGGCGCCTGGGCGCTCTGCTCCTTCTGGAACATTCCCCTGTGGCCCTCTCCGTGCTTCTCCTGCACAGCAATCCCGCCCTGCCGTAGCCCTGCCCGAGTGGAAGTTCTGAGATGTTCTGCGAGCTTGAAGCTCCCTTCGGTGGATCGAAAATGGAAGACTGAGCTTGGGAATGGCTGATACGTCCCCACCTCCTCCCAGAGAACAGCACGCAGTATCCAAGATGCTGGGTAGACTTCCAGACATTTAGGAATTAAGTAAGTGTCAGACTTTTATTAAAATAAAATAATAAATTCCACGGTGACCTTTTGGGAAAACAATAAAAGTGTCAGAAGAAACAAGGGGCTGTGGAGCCAGAGGACTCTCCTGCCATCAATAACCAGGCTTCCTGCTCCCCACGGCAGAGGGAACGGCAAACCATCTGAGACCGAGTGATAGAGAAAGCCATCAAACGACCACTCGTAAAAGCTTGCACCCGCATAAAGTTAATGAGACATTTTTCATTGATGTATCTTTGTTTGCCCGTTTGTTTCTGAATGTTTTTCTTCTCTAAGTAGAAACCTTAAGGCAGAGATAGGAAAATACTTATTCTAAGCAATGATATTGAACAGCCGTGTTTTAGGGTGTTGCGTAACTGAAAACACTGGCTCTCGGTGTGCAGAGTACTTGTTCTGTACAATGCCGGAGGCATTATTGTGTGGAGCTCAGCGCGCCGAAGTCTGAGGCAGTGCACAGATCCTGAAGAGACATCTTGTCTTCACTCTACCAACCCAGCGACCTCGAAGAACATGGAGAATGTGTGTTGGGACAATGTCCCCTGCACTGGGAGGTGACCCGCAATGAACAGGAATGCTGGCCATGACTGATGTTGTCCAGGGCCTCATCTGTGCAGCTGATGTGTGTGTGTGCAGACACTTAGTTGAAAGGCATGAGATGGAATACAGGTTAATACAGACTGTGACAGCCGGTGACCAGTCTTGAAGATTCTGGGCTTGTGTGCAGTTTAAGCACCAGACAAACCACTCAGTGCTTTTCTTCCAATCTTCACACCCAGCGTGAACGGCCAGCCTGCCCCAGACTTGGAGACACGCCCATACTCACACTTCGTTCAGACTCAGGAAACATTCTTAGAAACCTACACCATCCAGCTCCCTGTACCTGCATACGTGGGAAGCCGGGGGCCCCGTGTGTGAATTTGGGGCTCAGCCATTCCTGGGGATGCCAGGCCCGGTGGAGGGCAGCGCCCCCCCCAGGACCTGCACAGCCCTGAGGGCGTGAGGCACCCCCCGAAACGCCTGGACGATGCACGGAGTGTGTATGTTTATACCTGGATCTCTTGTCCAGCGGACATTTTCAACAGTGTGTTCTGGGGTTCAGTGCTTAGCACATCTCATTTGATTGAGACAGTCCAGCCTCAGGGCCACAATGGCTCAAGGCCCCAATGGCCAGCACTGCCCGGCTCTTCATTCTGCTCTGTTCCGGGACAAGAGCACCGCTGTGCTAGACTTGACAGCTGTGCCCCAGCACCGGCCTTCCGGCCACACCAAGTAGGGACACCACCGAGGACAGGCCAGCACTGTGCAGGCTCTAAGGACAGGTGCAGCCCTGGATTCTCTGTAGATCTGGTGGTGTGCAGGTTTATGTCCCTGCTAATCAGCCAAGGATTTATCCACACCGGAAACCCCGACCATCGGGCACCCTGCCCTATCCCCTCCCACCCTCCACGCCAGCAGAGAGCAGCCTTGTTTTTGTGCGGCCATGCGTCATCCTCCTGGCATTTGGGACACCCTAAATCAGACAGCCTGTATCTTTTCAGTGAGCCCGATTGGTAGTGAAGCGGGGATGGTGTGATGCTGAGGAGGGGCTGGGGGGAGCCCGCGGCGTGGCGGGGCACATCCTCACAGGGACGCTCTGCTCTCCCGGACGGAGCTGAGCCACCCCATCGGGCCTATTCCAGAAGACCGGGGTGACATTCCTTTGCCAATCAAGGAAATGCTTTCCTTGGCATCTCAGAGCAAGCTGACAGGGAGAGCTGGCTTGAAAGTGAATTTCATGTGTTGTTTTGGAGAAGGAAAAGTCAGGCACGTGAAGGAGAGTAGGCCACCCCAGCTCGCTCATTTGTTTGTTTATTGTTAGATTAGTGGTGATGGAAATGTGCGTTACTCTGAGGCTGCCTGAGAACCACACCTCCCAGGGTTCAGGGTGACGGTGGGTCTGAAGCCCCCGGGAATGGAACAATCCAATGAACAAACAACAGCCAGTGCTGTGATACATACTGTGATACATACATACATACATACAATTAATGAACAGCTAAATAGCCTGGAGCTGCAAGCGGCTACATCTGCATCTCCGCGTGCCGTCCTGTGCGTCCTTAACGGGGTCTGTGTTGAGCCAGGCCTGGTGCAGGAGTGGATGAAGCTCAGGTGGACAGAGGGACAATGGTGTCCCTGTCCCTGCCAGTTTGGGGCACCTTGGGGAGGAAGGCAGGGCTGAGATTTGGGGGCCTTGTGAGCCCCGCAGTCACACGCTCCGCAAGGCGGGGTGACTGGTGGGGGAGGGGAGGGGACAGGGTTGAGAGGCATGTGGCCCACGGTGGGTCCCAGCTGCCCCACGCACCCCGCAGGCTTCGACCTGGTGAAGTGTGAGGACCCCGGGCTGCCCAGCTACGGGTACAAGGTGCGCGACGGGGGCCACTTCGCGGACACGGAGGTGGAGTTCAGCTGCAGCCCCGGCTACGCCATGCACGGGAGCAGCACGCTCACCTGCCTCAGTGGGGACCGCCGCGTCTGGGACCAGCCGCTGCCGTCCTGCGTGGGTGAGTGGGCGAGCGCGCGTGCGGCCCGCGGGGGAGAGTGGG